AATTTATTAAAAATGGCATTTAATAATAATCATATACAATTAGTACAATGGTTAATTTTACATTACAATGTTCCTTCATATAAACTTTTACGATGTTTATCTACACCACCAATGAAAAACTTATAAATTCTTAATATAAATGTTAATTAAACATTATTTTTATAAAATAAGTTATGATGTAATTATAATTATAATATAAATTATTTATTTTTATTATTTTTAATTATTATTATAATATAAATATAAGTAATAAATAAAGTTAATTTTTATATTTATATTTAAAGAAAACTACTTATTATAATTTCTATTTATGAATTAATATTATTATAGATATTTTAGATATCTAATATACAAAAATAATAAATATTATTTATTATAATATAATATATATTATTTATAATAAAATAAAATTGAATCAAAAAATTGTAGTTTAAAAGTATAGTTTAAAATTAATGTTAAAAATTAGAAATTAAATCTGTAATTATGTTGCAAACAATGATACATGTATATTTTATTTTACTTATTTTATTTAAAAAAAATTGTAATTTTTTGTTATTTTTATACTTATAATATATTTTATATTATATATCCAAATATAGGCCTGTATGATTTGACAGTAGATAGTAGTACTGAATTTTTATTTCGAAATAAACATAACCTAATAAATATTCTGCAATTCTATGAAATGTTCATTTATGATAATATATTATGATAAATATAATACTAAATAATGACACTGAGAATAATTATTGTGCAGTATAGTTTATGCATTATTAAAAATAAGATGTTTTTTATGTAAAATTTTTAATACTAATTTTTGAATAAACACAAAAATATGTATATTATATAAACTTTAATTTTAATTTAATAATAAATTTTATTTGTATTATTTCTTATATATTATGTTTTTATTTAAAATAATTGAAATAAATTAAAATAAATTAAATAAATAAACAATTATTAAGTAACTAATATTTATTGAGACATATATATATATATATAGAATGAATATTATATATATACGTTCATTGAAATGAATCATTAAGGCAAATCAGCAATTCGTGAATATTGTTCATAATATTTCATTGATCAATTTATTGTATTTATCGTTCACAAAAATATTGTATAATATAATTTATGAACTGTTGGAAATTATTCATTGTATAAAATAGCAATATGAAGTTTCATTTGGTTAAAATCAAATCAAATAATATAATGCTGTTATAATGACAAATGTTCCAACTTAGGCTATTAGCTAGCTATTAGACAAATTAGTGATTAATAATATTAGCAATTTTATACTGTTGTAATTTATGTTTATGAATAACTAATGTAACTTAATGTAAATAAATTAATACATAAATATCTTATTTTTAAATTTTAGAATTATGAATTTAATTCTAGTTCTCTAAAGTTTTAATCATATGATTTTGTTTGTATTCGATAACTCGATTCAGTCATTACGTTGTCAGCAAATAGAATAAGATAGTCAGCAATGACATAGAAAGTAGAAGAGTGAAAGAGCAATGTTACGTAATACGCAAATACCAAATATTTTATTGTGATGTAATTTTCATATGATTCTAGAAATAGTTTCTACTAAATATTTCAATACAGTAACGTGCAATGTCATTTTTTTAAACTCTTACGCTATTACTAACCATTTTATTCCGCTTATTAGAAAAAGTTCCAGAATTGCAATTCTAATATTTATAAAAAATATCATCATATAACATTATCATTTTTATGTTTGAAGTAATTGTGTATATAATACACAATACGAGAATTAATTTTTAAAATATTCTATTACATTAATTTTATTACATCATGGAAAAAACAGGTTTATTAGTTTTAACAAATCCTGCGAGAATAACACAATTATTACCAATTATCAAGAAACATGTATCAGAAACTTTATATATTCAATATTTGCCATGCAAGAATATTTTTAGTGAAATATTGCATATAGATTATACATGGGGAATAAATCGTTTCGCTCAAGCAATTTCCAATATTTATTTGTATACATCTTCTATATCTGATCAACTTGATATTCGTGTGTTACTTACAAGTATAAAAGAACGTCATATACGATTACATACTAAAAAACATGTGGAAATAGTTATTTTTGATCAAAATTGTAGCAAAAGTCAAGCTGATAAATTCATCGAAAGATATTTATTTTCTAGTTTTATTACTTGTGTTATTCCTACTGATGATTTGGAATTAGAAAAAACTAAAAATATCCATTACATTTTCATGGATTATATTTTGATGTTAATGAAAAAAAAAATGATAAAAATGATGTTAATGAAAAAAAAAATGATAAAAATGATGTTAATGAAAAAAAAATTGATAAAAAAACTTATAAGAATGTAGTACTTGGTGGTACATTTGATCGAATACATAATGGTCATAAAATATTTTTAAGTGAAGCTTTATTACGTTGTACAGAAAAACTTACAATTGGTGTAACTGATCAATCTATGTTGTCTGGTAAGAAACTTTAATTATAAATTATTAAAAAGAGATATAATTTATATATTAATTGTTAAGAATGGATAAAATAAATTTTATTGATAATATTCATAGAATAATTTTTAAATATATACTTTAATTAATTTAGATAATTAAATTTATAGGAAAATTATTATGGGAATTGATAGAACCTTGCTCCTTAAGAATGTTTAATTTGGAAGAATTTTTAAAAGATATAGATAATACTATAAAATATGAAATTGTGGCTATAAATGATTTGTATGGTCCAACTAAGTATGATTCAACATTTGAAATGATAGTAGTTAGTGAAGAAACAAAAAATGGTGCAGATAAAATAAATGAATTACGAGTAAAAAAAAATTTAAACAAATTGGATATTCATGTTGTAAAAATTGTAACTGATGAACATCATAAAGAATATGAAGAAAATAAAATCAGTTCTAGTAATCAAAGAATACGATTATTAGGAACAAAACTTTATGCTCCTGTATGTATTATATTAATTTTATTATACAAATGATTTATATTAATAAAACATATATTAACATTTCAGCGAATTGAAAATAAACCTTTGAAACCTTATATTATTGGTTTGACTGGTGGTATAGCAAGTGGAAAATCATCAGTAGCTGAGAAATTAAAAAAATTAGGTGCTGCACTTGTTAATTGTGATAAAATAGCACATGATTTATATTTACCTGGTAATAAGTGTTTTAATGAAATTATTAACAATTTTGATTCTACTATTTTAAAATCTGATGGATTTATTGACCGAAAAGTACTTGGACATATAGTATTTAATGATAAAGTAGGCTTCTATTTTTATATTATTACAATATTTACTATTATTATTATTTTTGAAATTATATTTAAAAATATAAATTTATTTATAGAAACAATTAAATAAATTAAATGAAATTCTTTGGCCCATGATTTTAGAAGAAGCAAAAAAACAGATAAATGATTTTAATACAAAAGGATTTGATATAATTGTAATGGAAGCTGCTGTTTTAATTCAAGCAAAGTGGCAACACGAATGTCATGAAATCTGGACTTGCATTATTCCACAAAAAGAAGTGAACTTTTTATGAATTAAAATTATTAATATTTTATATTAGAATATTTTTAATTAATCAAATTTAAAACTTTTATAGGCTATACAACGAATAATGGAGAGAAATACATTAACAGAAACTGATGCAAAATTAAGAATTCAAGCTCAACCAAATAATAAAGATCAAGTTGATGAAGCTAATGTTGTAATATGCACTTTATGGAGTCATGAAATTACTGAAGAACAAGTACAAAAAGCTTGGAATGAAACAATGGCATTTTTAAATAATCAAAAAAAAAATTGAATTTTAATATTACAAAATTATAGTTAAAATTGTTAAAGTTTTATAGATTATTTTATATTATATATTATTATGTTATATTTTATATATTATTATTTTTATAAATATTTATAGAAATATTGTTTATTATTTTAATAGGTTGTATACAAATTATATAATATATAATTATATAATATATTTATTATATTTGAAAAAATTTTAATAGTTTTTTGTATTAATTAAAGTGATTAATATGCATTTAATCAAAAAAATATTTCTGCAAAGAAAATAAAATTGTTGGTTCATTTACAGATATGTAACATAATATTGTATAATTGTAAATTTTCTCATAAAGTACATAATAGTTATATAATAGTTATATAATACTTATACATTTGTTATAATATAATTATATCTTTTTTTTCTGTTGCAATTTAAAATTACATCAATTTTTAAATTATTAGCAATTATAAATAATTTTAAATATTAAGTTACATTTTATCATTTTAAAATGATAGCACATCCTGATTTTCAATGTTTCTTGAGATTAATGCAAGTTATTACAATTTTATATACATAATCGTATAAAATATCTTTTCCTTAATAATATAAAAAAGATTACAAGTATAATTTTTTTTACAAGTTTTCTATTTATATAAAAAATGTACAAAATAATAGCACATTTATGAAAAAACAAATCAATGTTTTATTGTTTGAGAATAGAAAAATTTCTTACATATGTTTATCACATGTTCAATCTAAATTTAGTTGTAAAAATTGTCTATTATATTAGATTTAGAAGATGAAAAGATAAAAAATATTGATTTCTATTATATTTCAAAGATAATAATTTTTTATTTTTGTCAATATAAATTGTTTAGAAATTATTTCATTTTTAATACAAATAAAAATTTATTAAAAAATATTTTGCTTTGATGTTTCAAAAACTTTAAATATTTAGATATTTTTACTGCATTAATTTTCTATATGAAGAAAATGAGTTCAAAATTTTATAATAAACTTTCATAAACTTCTTTTTATTGTTAATAGATTAAATTTTATATCTAGAAATATAGTTTGTTTTTTTAAAAATTTAAAAATGTAATTATAAAATATACAAAATATATCTATTTTGAATAAAATAAATATTTTGTAACAAAGAATTTTAAGATTTATTACATATTTAAATATCTTCATCTTTTTACAAAATATTTATATCTTTTTGATTTTTATAATTATGTATTTTGTTAAGTATTGTACTTATGAATGATGAAAAATCAGCTTTTAGTTTACTTCCACCACTTTCGATATTGCATTTAACATGAGATATTTTCATAAATGTTGAAGCTATGAAAATTAATTAAAAATGTATAAAATAATATGTTATAATTACTAATATTATTATATTAATATAAGTACTCACAAATAATTTTTGAAATTTCAGGATTTTTGTTTTCGGGATCGTAACAAAAAATTACACATCTGTCTGGATCTAATTTAGTTTGATCAATAAAATAATCGTATAATTGTTGAATTTTTTTTTAAACATTCATTCGATTGTTCACTATAAATCAACATAACGCCATGTACATCCTTTCTTATAGCTGGCCAACAATATTCATATCTAAAATATATTCACACATTTTGTTATAACTTATAACTTTGAATAAATAAAATATTTATATATACTTATGATCTCCACTACAATCCCATAATTCAATATCTTTTGTAATGTGACTATTATTCACATTTATATTTTGCACTTCAAATTCTAATATTCGTACTCCTTTAGTTGGATAATAATCATAGGGTATTTCTGTAGCATCCGCAAGAAAATTAGATATTGTTGTTTTACCACTCTAAAAGATATTTTTTAAACAATTGAAATTTTAGGATTAACGCAATTTGTATTTATATGCATATTATATACATATTAATTACAAATTTTATATAACATTATTTTTACTGTACATATAATGAATACGATAAAAAATAAATTAAATTTTTACATAACAAAAGATAGATTATTATTTATAAAGTATGGATTTAAAATATTACCCTAAGAGATCCAATAACTATTATTTTTAATGATTGCATATCTTATATATATTAGTTTGATACAAGTAGTTTTTTCCTGTATTGAATGTTTGGAAAATTGTCTCTATAACAACCATTTATATCTACATACAGTAGTGTCTGTTTTAGCATTTATTGTTATCTCTGATTGATTTTTGGAAAATGGAACTATTAAGTAAATGTTAAATAAAAGATAAATTGCTAATTTGATATTGATTTGATTCATATTTATTCAATTTAAATCGAAATTCTGAAACTTATTTGAATTTATAAATCACTTCTATAAATTTAATTTTAGTAAAGTTGAATAAATGCTAAAATGAACATTATTGTATCTTACAGACTTAGCCTTTTAATAATAAATCAATATAATAGGTCAATAAATACAAAAATACATATTTCATTGAAAATAAAAAAAACTTATATTTTAGAATATAGTTAATTATTGATAAGCATAAAATTTATTTGTATATGTCCATTTATTATGATACATAAACATTTTAGTTTGAACATGATACAAGTGAAACATTAGATATAAAATAATAGATTATATATTATATATATATATATATATACTATATGAAGTAATTTTTTAAAGAAAGCAGCTTTTTCTTTTTTTGGATTGGAATTGAATTTCAATTATGTATCGTTAATTAATAATGTATTTACAACTACTTTTACATTATTATCATCTGTACTATTTTAGGTAAATAGAATTCGATGATAAATAAACTATTAATATTAATATGTAATGAAATAATTATATAATAAAAAAAGTGAAAATTAAAACGTGATAATCAATATTAAAATATTAATTTCTGTAAATATAAATTAAATATCTATATAAAGATATATAATCAATAAATTTGATAAGCATTGATATCATTTGATAAGATTATATTTATATTTCTGCTGATAAAAGAATATATTGATTATTTTGATTTATTTATAATATATTCATTATATTATTTATTACTTATATAATAATGCAAAATTATAAGAAAGAATATTTCCATAAATTTTTCATACTGATATGATATCATAGACTGATGTATGATATTTGCAATTATTAAATTTCTTGAATTTTTTTGTAATATGCAATAATTTATATAATATATGAATAAAAATTTTCAATGTAAAGTAACACTATAATATAGTATCACAATTTACATGTATAATTATAAAAATTATAATTATATATAATATTAATTATAAAAATTAATATTATTTTTTAAACCATTGGTTGATCTTGGATTATTGGCGTGGTTTCATCTGGATAGTTTAAACCATATAAAGCAAAAAGTGCAGATTTTGCTGCTATTTTCTTCGCATCTTTCTTGTTTTTTGCTGTAATATATATCCATACATTTTTTATATAAAAAAAAAAAAATAAAAAAAATAAAAATAAAAAAATAAAAAAAACAGAAGAAAAAAAAACAAAATTAAAATAAAAAATTATGTATGTTATATATATAATTTTTAAAACGTTATAAATATTAAATATTAAATATGAATTATAAATTAATCTTTATTACTAATAATTTACTTTAATGTACAAAATATCTTTTTGTATAGAATAAACATATAAATATTTAAAGTAAAAAAGGAATCAAACTATATATACAAAATATATATATTACATTACCTGTTCCCGTATATTCAATGCCATCAATATCAACAGCAAGAGTAAACATTGTATTAGGTGGATTGCCAACACGATTGAGTTCTACATAAGTTAAACCAGGTCTCATTTGATTTAATAACATAACAGGATGTATGTTTGTTGCATTGGGCGGAAGTTCTTTTTGAACTGGAGTTTTTTGAACATGAGAAATTTCTCGTTTGTTTCCTTTAACAGGCGATGGTAATCCTGGTCTTGGAACTGGAACTGATGTTCCTTGATTATGCCATTCGAGGAAAAGTTTATACAATGCAAAGCTAGCTAAAGAACTCCATGGAATTTCATCACTTTCATCAACACTAGTATCCATTGGTGTTCCACTTTCTTCATTATTATCTTCTTTTGATGCATTAGATGATTCTATAGCTTGATTTACTTGCCCATCTGATTCAGCATCCATACGTGCTTTCATAGTTGCAGCTGTCATTTTTTCAAGTAATAAAGCCTTCAATGCATTTTCAGCAGCATTCTGACGAGCAAGTGGCTTAGATAATCCTTGTCCAACATAAGTTTTACCATCAAGCTGTTTTATTTTCATAGAAAAAAATTATTTTATTAAAAATTTTGTCATTTAAAGTACATATGTTGAATTATTTTAAATACCTCTGCATGAACAAGATATAGAGAATTTGGCATAGGTCCTTGAGTTTCAGGAAATGTAAACTGCACTCCAGGTTTCATTTCATTTAATACCATAATTGCATTTTTTGGTTGCAATGTTTTTCTTAGACGTTGATTTAAACGAAGTCGTTTTAGTCTTTTATTTACCCTAACTAAAGATATAAATTTTAATCAATTTATTAAGTAATAATATAATTTATTAATTTTTTTTCAATATTTATATCAGTATATTAATATTCACAATGATTATTAATATCTCACAATTCAACAATAAGTTACTGGAATATATAGTAATAATTCTAATCTTCAAATTTGCGCAGTGAATTATCATCATTATTTCAATAATAATTATATTCTATAAATATTTCTTTCATTTTTTAAAATAATATATATAATTAATTTAATAATTTTTCAAAACAAATTTTTGAATTAATTAAAAAAACTGAACTTAAATTTGCTATATACTTTTTGATTATTTTAGACACTTACATCCAGGTGCCTTACGCCTCCATCTTGGATGTTGTTCTTGTATTTCCATATCTGTATTTTCAGGCACTTGATTTTCATTTTTTACTTCACATATATTACTTGGCAGTGTAGGATTAGAATTAGTTGTTAAAGGAGATGTTGGAGTGGAAACTAATGATTGAGATGATGAAATAGGATTATTTTGTGCAACTGCTGCATTTTGTTGAGAAGGTTGTTTTAAAATTGGTTTTAATCGTTGAGGTTGAGGCTGAGATTGAGATTGTGACTGAGACTGTGATTGAGATTGAGATTGAGATTGGGATTGGGATTGAGATTGAGGTTGTGGCTGAGATTGAGATTGAGAAGAATTTGTAATTGATTGTTGAGGTTGCTTAATTTGTGATTGTGGCAATTGTTGTTGTTGTGGTTGAGATTTCCCTTGTTGCAAATTCCTCAATGCTGCTGGTTGCACTTGTGCCTGTTGAGATTTCCCTTGTTGTAAGTTCCTTGCTGCTACTTGTTGTATTTGTGGTTGTTGCTGCTGTTGCTGCGGTTTAAATGATTGTGAATTTTGTGCACTTCCTTGTTTGTAATTATTTTGCTGATTTGGAGAAGATTGTGTTCCTTGAAAACTGCCTTGCTGATTGTACTGCAAAACATAGGGTGGGTCGCCGCTACACAAGGAACCTGTACGGTTGTGCTATCCCACCAAGGTCTAGCATCGCATATGCATTTGAAAGCAGTCTAATGCTACCCTCATAATTCATACCAACCAAATTTCTTTTATGGCCAATATTTCTTTATATATAACTGAACTGAGTTTATGTATAATAAAAGAAAAAAGATTGTATAACATATAAAAAATAAATAAGTAAATAAATAAAGATTTTTAACTTTAACTCTTTTATTCTTTCTATAGTAATTTTATTGATATATATAGAATTATGAAATAAAATATCATTTTCAACAGAAGTATTTTATATATATTTTACACCAAAAAATTACAAATAAATTCTATTGCAGTTCTAGATAATTCTGTCTTTAATTATTTAAGAAACTTAAGAATCTTTAATTATTTACATATTCTTATATTCTTATTTTTTATGTAAAAATTTTTTTAATTATAATAAAATAATTTAAGAATGAAAGAGTTAAATTAATATGTGTTTTATAATTAATATTAATCTATATGATATGTCAAAGCAATTTACAATTTAAGAAAAACAAATATTTAAACTAATTATTTAATTAAAATTTAACAAATAATAATATTAAAAAAATATAAAACTGAATATAATTTTTTCTATTAAAATTAAACATTAATATTTGAAAAAATATGATATATATATATATATATCATATTATATATATATATATATATTATATAATTAATGAGTTATTATAAAATATTATAAAATGATAATCATTTCTACATCATTTAAACATCAGTTCAGTATGTTATTAAAAATATGGCCTATGGAGGCTATGCTATGTGGGTAACTGACGAACTAGTCCCTGGCTGAATAGACCTCCTCGGTATTGTTGTATAGCTACTATTTCCTGCATTGCAGGGGAGGGGAAAGTAGGGACCACTAATTAGTACATGCAAATGGATGGAATATTGGAAACAACAAATGGAAGAACAATATATTATAATTGTGATGAATCTAAGATATTTCTAATGCTTTCTCTTTTTTTTTTCAATATAAAATAATATATTCCATAATATTTTTCAATATAAAATGTAATGTTTTTAAGAAATAGTTAAGATTTTTAATTTAAAATATTTTATAATATAATTATAGAAAATATTTTGTTTTATTATTATATATTTCATATATTTCTTATTAAAAAATACTTAAAGATGAATGATTCATTTAAATTAATTAACTTTATTTTTATTCTATTAATTATTTACTTTTATTCATATTATTATTTAGAGTATAAGATTTCATTCAAAAAATAATTAAGAAAAACAGTAAAGTATTAAATACTTTGATTATAGAAAAAATATATGATTAATAATTTTGTAATATATATATTTATATACATTTATATACATATATATACATATATATACATATATATACATTTATATACATATATATATTTATATACATATGTATTTTATACATATAAGTATTTTGTGATAAAATTTCTGATACATATACAAAATGATATTATTACATACTTATAACTATATAATATATTTATACATTTATATCTTTATATTCTTAAAACTAATTTATATGTTGATACATGAATTAAAATATTATATAATATATATAAAATATTGTATTATAATAATATAAATCCAAGCAGTAAAACTATTATATTTTCATATTATTTTAAATTATGATATAAATTATTTAAATATACTAAATTATATTATAACATACAAAAAACTGTTTATTTTTTAAATA